TGTACAAAAATTGGAATGCTTATGCAAAGCTAGTGTATTATTGAAAATTATTTCCATTTATACTATTGTTCAGGAACCAATCATTTTGTATTACTTTTTGAAAGTTAATGTTCTGAGAAGTTTTCCTTTATTGTGAAACATATTATGTTGCTTCAAATTCTTAATTAGTATATTGGCTATTCATCATTATTAATAGATAAGATCTTAAGATTAGCCTTTTATTCCAACTATTAAAAGCCTGCCATTACTGCATGTGATTACGAGATCTAGTTCAGTTTACCTTCTGTGATGTTTTGTTTAGCCTTCTAGAGGAGAAAAAAGAAATTTCCTGCTGCACTTGAAAGTAAATTACAGGCTTTCATTTTCTGCATTGAATTAAAGCCTGCTACATTATTTGATCTAGACAATAAAGCATATGTGGCTGAACAAAACTTTGCAAACTCTGGGTAGCTTCAAAAAGTAAATTAGTTCAATGTGAAGTAGTCCAGGAATAAAATGAACAGTTATCTGACATATTTTATTATAAAATCTCATTTGATAAGTAATAGAGCAGGTTAGACTCTTAAACCATTCTGTCTTGATATTTCAAGTCTAGAAAGCAGAAGTATTCAAACTGAGAATTTTGGTATCTTAAAGAATCTTTAGGGAATTTAACAGACAATGTGAAACTGCACAGAATATGCAGAAAAGAAGTAATTTTCAGCATAGTAGCTTTGCCTAAATTCTGCCCATTAGAGTGAGGAAATACTGTTCTTGTTGCATTCAGCAGCTGGGTCCCGACAGTATCTTTTTCCCACTTGGAGGGGTTAATTAGTTGTCTTTCAGAAGGTGCCTGTTTAGCTTACATTCACATCATGCAACAAGCACCGGCTTGTACAAAGCAATACCATTAACAGACGGGTGTGTCCAACTGCTTAATTAGACAGAATAAAAAGGACCTTGTCAAACATTCATCTGTTTCTTGTGATACACCTGACGGCCCAATTAGGCAAGGATGACGTCTTTTCTGCTTGCAATGTGCAGTGTGCAGTTCTTTTACTTACGTGTAGTGTCAGTGAAAAAATGGAGACATTGCATTTATTGTCATGGCTTCACCCCAGCCTGCAACCAAGCTCCAGACAGCAGCTTGCTCACTGCTCCACTGATAGGACTGGGGAGAGAATCGGAAGGATAAAAACCAGAAAACTCATGGGTTGAGATAAAGACAGTTTAATAGGGACAGCAAAAGCAGCACACACAAGCAAAGTAAAACAAGGAATTAATTCACTGCTTCCCATGGGCAGGAAGGTGTTGAGCTATCTCCAGAAGGGCAGGGCTCCATCCTGTGTAATGGTGACTTGGGAGGAAAAACACCATCGCTCCAAATATGCCCCCTTCCTCCCTCTTCCCCTCTCTTTATATACTGAGCACAGTTCCATACGTTATGGAATATCCCTTTGGTCAGTTGGGGTCACCTGCCCAGACTGTGTCTCCTCCCACCCTCCCATGCACCCCCAGCTTCCTTGCCAGTGTGGCAGCATGGAAAGCAGAAAAGGCCTTGACTCTGTGCAAGCACTGCTCAGCAATAACAAAAATATCTTTGTATTATCAACCCTCTGTTAAACAGAAATCCAAAACACACCATACCAGCCACTGTGAGGAAAATTAATTCTACCCCAGCCAAAACCAGCACAATTATAAAAATGTGTTCTTGTGACTTCTCAGTATTGGTGTGATGTAAAAGAATTATGATGGCTGCGTCACTAACATGGTACTAGAAAGACTTCCAGTGAATAGGAAGATATTTAAGGTTGACTGTCAACATATTGTGTACTGTGTACTGAGCTATAATAAAGTTTTGCATTTAGGATAGAGACTTAGACCAGAATAATGGAAGCAGTCCTTGGTTGAATGCGAGGTACCCACCAAAGCGGCTCTATCACTCCCCTCCTCAGCTGGACAAAGGAGAGAATATATGACCAAAAGCTCATTGGTCAAGAAAAGAACAGGGAAAGATGGCTCACCAGTTGCCATCAGAGGCAAAATGGACTCAACTTGAGGAAAATTATTTGATTTATTGCCAATCAAATCAGGGTAGGGTATTGAGAAGTAAACCAGAATCTTAAAAATACCTTCCCCTCACCCCGCACTTTATTCTTGATTCTTTACTTCCTCCCCTCCAGCAGTGCAGGGGGATTAGGAATGGGGATTAACATCAATTCATTACACATTGTTCCTGCTTCTGTTCCTTCTCAGGGGGACAACTCCTCACACTCTTCCCCTACTCCATTTTGGAGTCCCTTCCTCCTGCAAGAGACAATCTTCATTAATTTGTCCATGAGTCCTTCCCGTGGGCTACAGTTCTTCCACAAACTGCTCCAGTGTGGGTCCCTTCAGTGATGTGCAGTCCTTCAGAAACTTCAGAATGCTCCAGCATGTGACCCCTCAGGGTCACAAGTTCTGTCAGCAAATCTGCTTTTTGCATGGGTTCTTGTCTCTGTGGGTCTGACAGGTCCTACCAAAACCCTGCTCCAGGGCTTCTTATGGGGTCACAGCCTCTCTTAGGCATCCACCTGCTCTGCTGTGAGGTCCTCCACAGGCTGCAGGTGGATATATGCATCCCTGCGGACCTCCATGGGCTGCAGGGGGACTTCCTGCCTCACTGTGGTCTTCACCATGGGCTTCCAGGGAATCTCTACTTGGGCACCTGGGGCAGCTTCTGTGCCTCCTTCTCCACTGATGTGTCTGCAGGGCTGTTTTTCTCATATATTCTCCCTCCTTTCTTCTGTGACTGCAATTTGCTTCTGCCCAATAACTTGTTTTTTCCCTTCTTAAATGTGTTATCCCAGAGGCACTACCACTGTCACTGATGGGCTCAGCCTTGGTCAACAGTGATTCCATCTTGGATCCAACTGGATCAGACATAGGGAAAGCTTCTGACAGCTTCTCAGAGGGGCCATCTGTATAGTCCAAATCACCTGCACACTAAACCTTGCCACACAAACCCAGTACACCTACCCCTCCTCTCTGACCTGTCTTTTCTGAACAGCCTGTAACCATTGATGGTTGCACGCGAGTCACGGGGGTCATCTCACCAGCTTTCAGTAATGGCATCTAGGTTGTAGCCTTCCAGTAGCATGGAGGCTTCCGACTTCTCCTGTGGACATATTTATCCTGTGGGCATCTATTTTAATTGTTATAATCTTTAACATGCAAATGTTATCTGTGAAGTTCTATTCTTTTACTTTTGTATCCTTATTTTTGACAGGTGTGGTGGGTCCTGAAGTGCATCCACTGCTTAAAAATGTAGGGTTTAGTTGACATGAAACTCTGACAATCTGTTGATTAATCTGAAAAACGTTTGATCAAGAATTTATCAGTCTTTCTGAATACTTCAGAAGAAGCAGTTAAATCTGTTAGGTGCCATAGACCAAACCTGAAGTTTAAACCAAGAATGGTCCGAGTTGGCAAGGTCCTGACCCTATCCCCCTGACCCCATCCCATAGTTATATACCTGTTTCCTTCTTTGCACTGGATACATTTCAATGCAAAGTGATTTAGAGGTAGTTGGAGGAAGGAAGTGCAGAAACCCAGCCTGAAATCAGTTTAAACTGCTGTGGAACCTTACTGTGAAAAGAGAGTCTGCTGTTGACAGCCAGTTTTATTGTCAAGCAAGGAGAAGATAGAAAATTTTTTGGCATAGTAATTAATTTCCCTTACTATATGTCCCTGAATTTTTTATTATGATTTTGTCTCAAAAAAATATTGTAGGTTTTTTTGGGGGAGGTTGTTATTTGGTGGTGGTGGTAGGGATTGAAGTCTGGTCTCTTCCCTGTCAGCCATATGGGTCTCATGAGTTAAACTAAAAAAAAAAAAAAAAAAATCACTTGCATAGGTCATTCTAAATATTTAGATTTTTTTTTGCATATAAATCTCTTTTATTATGCATGATAATGCTAGTCTTTTTTGTAGCTAATATAGATTAATAGAGATTAAGGGCAGTAAAATTTTATATCACAGAACATTTGGCTTACAGATTAGTAGTTGTGTTTGCTCACTGTGATTCTTCACAGACGTGTACAGTCTTCTGTTTTGAAGGTACCAGGTGAAGAAGAACCTGCCTCATCTGGTTATTATTTTCACTAGTTAATCATCCACTACTTAAGAGAAATATAAAAAAAAGGGGGGAAAAAAGGCTGATTCACAATTTCAAATTCATTTTGGCTTGTCACCAGTCAATTGTATTGTCATTCGTGCTGTGCAAAATTCAGGAATCTGCAGCTCCCGGTCTGTATTTCCTATGAGAACATGTCATGCTTGGTTGTCTTTCTGATAAGTTTTCTTTATCAGGCATTTTCCTTGATTCTTGAACCATTTCTGTGTTCTACCGAAATTTCCATTGTTCCCTTTAAATGTCAGGGCTATGATCATAGGCTCTTGTCCACTGTGTATGTATTTCTCTATGATATTAGTGTCAAAAAGTTTCTTCTCATATTTTAAATACAGTGGTTGCTTTAATGCTTTCCACTGAAGGTTATTTGAGTTCCTTTTTCTCTATGACTTATTAAATGCTTTTCAGAGTTGGCATTCTGAATTAGACCCCTTCATTCTGTGGCCTCCTGGAAGTTTGACTTTGAATGTGAATCTATAGAGATTTTAGTGTAATTCAGTAACCCAGATTAAAAATGGTTTTGAATGATGACCAATTATTTTCAAGCTGAGAGAAGATTTGCTGCAGATTTTTCTGAGTTATTCCTAAAGTGACAAAACTCAGATAAGTGATATGTTTCTTCATATTTAAACAAAAGGTATTTTGAATGTAAGATAAAAATAATATAAAACCCCATTTATACTAACTCATATGCTAGTAGGTGGAAAAAATTTTGACTGATACCAAGATTGCTGTTAGATAATTTTAAAATCTAAGTAGAGATAAGGGACAAATTAGCGTGCTAGTATAAGTGACAAAATAAAAACATCAGTGTACTAACGTTATAATTTTATGTCTTAATTTTATTCAGAGATCACAATGCAGACATCAGAGACTGGGGCGGATACAAGTTCGACTGTGACTTTACAGACATCTGTGGCTGGCCAGGCAGCAGTGCCCACACAGGTAGTACAGCAAGTACCAGTTCAGCAACAGGTACGTGGCTGTTAGTTTTGGGAAAATTAAAAAACAAAAATTCAGAATGATAGTTCTTTACAATGTAGTAAAGAACTTGGTTTTGTACAAGACTGCTAAATGAACTCTTGCTCTGCTTTTATCGATTTTGTTTTGCTGGAATTAAAATAGCTGGAGAAAGGCAAGCTGTTTTCAGGATCTGTTCCTTAACTAGAGCCCCTGACAAGCTCTAGTAGTACACATATGTGATTCTAACTGTAGTTTGTTATGGACTTCATGCAGTAGCTCCTAGAAATGTACTGTATGTTACTGAATATTTACATTTTTTTCATTAAATAATAGATATGTGTCTGATATTATTGACTGTATCATTTCTCCATCCATTTGGATTTCCAAGAAAGTGCAATACAAATGTAAAAATGGAAAGCATTTTCCTTTGCATCTCTAGGTTTGACTCCCCACAGATCTATGCACAGTGTCATGAAAGTATTGGTGGTAGGACAAACAGTAATTCATAACGTGCATTTGCCAGGGAAGGAAGAATGCTTTTGTAGCAGCCAGCACAGTGCACTCTTCTATTACATGAAATAGTCACTCCTATGGAGCACCCATGAGCTTTGGAAGAAGTGTTGGCAGAAGAAAATGGGGAGCTAAAAAGGAAAAGTATGGAGGTACAAAATGGGGACTAAGTGTGATAGCCATTATGGCTGTCCAAGACTTTTCCAGAATACACAGAAATAAACTGTCCATGTGATGGGTACTCTAGGTGACATCTGTTGTTTTTCATCAAAAACTGACTTTACAGTTTCAAAATCAACAAAATAAGAACTAGACATAAATTATTAAATACTGGCATTTGTTTCTGTGCCAGTGGAATACTTTTCTCTAAATCAAATTCTTCAGCATTTTCTGAGTTCTCAAGTTCCAGTGCATTTTCAGGTATGTGTTCCAGAGTCTCAGACATTTCACTAATATTTTTTTCCTGATGCACAGACTCAGTTTCTAATGCCTCCTAGTTCCAGTACTATAGTATGAACTTAGCTAGCCTTTGTAGGAGATTTTGTCTGTAACCCCTTTGTAGGGTTTGTGTAGTGCAAGACTTTTTTCTTTGTCAAATACAATCTAGATGATTTGTTTGTTTTTTATTTTCTAAATAACAGTTGTTATCATATGATATCTATATGATAACAGATGTTTAATAGATGTAATTTATATGACTTGTTCTTATTCAGCCTTTGAGATACAAGATGGCAATTTGGTAGTGCTACATGGTTGCTTGTTTTCAGCATATAAGATTTACGTACAATGGTCTAATATTACATACTGAACTTGTGAAGTACTGATCAATGTGAGAGATGGAAGACAGGTAGCCAGTTAGTGGCATATAGGATACTTTATAGTGTTGCAGTTCTAATATTTGTCTTGATTGAACTCTAAGGACAAGTTCTATGCATTTTTGTCGCAGCAAAATGAAAAATGAGCAGGACTTTGGTTTGTTAAATTTGCTTGTGCAAAGTTTCTACTTTTTTGAAAACTTTTATGATAGAATGGGATCCTTATTTGCTGACTGGAGATGCCCACTGTGAGGGGGCCTCAGGCCCAAGAGTTAAAGTCTTTGGCATTGGGAGTGTGACTGCCAGAGAGTCTTGTGAATGGTCAGCCTGGGAACTTTCCTTAACATATTTTCCCGCATAAATAATGCGTTAATCTTTGTCACCAATTGTCTGCATTTTTCCTGAAGTTATTCCAGTTGTCCCTTAATAATGTAACGCTCATGTCAAAGCATAGAAGCCCAGGAGCAGATTGGATTTTTCCTTCTTTGATTATATCTTAATAAGAACAGCAAACAGAATTTTTTGTTGTACTACCTGAGTATGTAAAGCTGTCCCTTGATAAACTTTACATACATCTCCTGTAGTACTGCTACTTCTGGGTGTTCCCTTGCATTGAATACGCCGTCATTATACTGGATTATTTTTTCCTGTGGGGATATTGAATTATGTTTATCTGGTTGACTTTTAACGCTGTGTCATTAGCATAATGTTTGAGAAAGGAAAGCTAAAGAGTCAGGGTTTGAAGATACAACAAGAACGTTTGGAAATCCAGTGCAGACAGTATTGCAATGATTAAAACATATGTTTGGGAGATTTGTATAGAGAGATCTAATCCTGATTATGGAAGAAAATGAGTAGTAAGGAGAAAAAAAAAGAGTGAAAATGTGAATATGGTATGCCAGCAGGAAATGTGATAAAGAATGTAGATGTGATAGATAATTTCAATTGTAGGGTTGCAGGTGTGATTTGTCTTGAGGAATTATCTGTGTGTAGGTCGCATTTACCTAAAGTTAGTACTGTCTCCATGTACATTTGGAAGGAATGGGCCAATTTGTCTAAAGAAAATGTGGAGAAAGAGTGCTATTTTAATAAAGCCATTCTTTTGATGGCACAGGGAGGGCTTATTATTTCTGCACATTTAATGTTGAAAGCTGGAGAGAAGGTTTTAGATGCACAGTCTGTAAGATGTGGTTTTGTTTTTTCTATGGTTTATAAGGGACATGCTTAATAATATGAGCTGTATCCAAATTATGTGGGAATATTCACATTTGGATTATATTATGTTGTGAATATAAATTGCTAAAAGCAGTAAGACACTTCTAGGGTTTTGTTAAAGGATACTGTAACATGAGTGTGTATATGTAACATTTGGTGTAAGCTGAAACCTGTATTATCATTTGCAGTAATTTACTAGTACTTTCTAGTGAATAATGCAATTTTAGATGAATTTGCTTTTAGTTAATATTAAAGCAGTGTCTAACATTTCATTTTTCTTAGGGAGGTCTTTTTTTCCCATGTTTCTATTCCTGTATATAGACTGTGTTTAAATGACATCTCCTAAATGCATTAATTTGGGGTTGTTTTCATGGCATCAGTGTTTCTTTTATGCACACAAAACACCTATCTTTTTCAAAATGAAAGATTTTTGCCCTGAGGAAGAGCAAGCTGAAAAAGTGGAAGCGTGGACTAAGAGCCTTTACTCTTCAGCTGTGTTTATATTGAAGCATCCTGTCTTTTAAGGAAACAGCACAAGAGTAACTTGTAATATTTTCAGCTAAAACAAATCCCTAATTTCCATATAGCTGGTATGAATACGGAGCTTGTAGAAGATTGCTGTGATGCTCCAAAAATAGGAACAAAGGAGGTACCATTAATGAAAACCTAGATTCTTCCTCTTTCAAAAGTGGCATTAGTGGCAGCTGGTTTCATACAACACAGCAGCAGTCACTCCTGAGATGAGATAGAGAGGAGTGGTAAGCAAAAAGCAACAACCATAAGACCAAAAATGTGGGAGTGTAATTAAATTCTGTTTAAATAGCCTGAGGAATTTTCTTCGTCTTGTTTCCTCAAATACAGGGATTTTTCATTAATGCATCATTGCTTTTGCAACAGGCACTCTTCAGCATAGTGCAGTAAGCTTTTAAGGATTCAAAATTAAACTCACTTTGTATTTTATGCCATGCACTATGGAAGGACAGGAGAAATAAAACTAAAAATAGTCATATAAGCTATTTTATAAAAGTATCCATGCATTAGAAGTTGGGCAAAGCGTTTCTTCCTTGTCACGTACACAGTGGCTATTGCATTCTCAAAGCATTGTATCACTAACTAAGATGCAGACTTCTGCTAATCAAAATTGCTCTTAATGCAAAATTATGTTTAGCATATGAAAAGCATAATCATGAACTGACATTAGCCTTATATAAAAGATGAATGTGCTTAGAATGCTACAGAATGTTGTATTTGTATGTTACTTGCCAAAAGTAATTCATAATAATGAAGGACGAAAACTATTTTTATCTCCAAGGACAGAAAATTTTGAACAACCAAACTGTTTGTGTAGACACGGTAGATAATTTTATGTACTTTTTAAAATGTAGTTTAAAAATCCATATATATACATATTTTACCCTGTTCTACTCTTTGCTTAGTACATAAGCACTTTTTCTTGGAAGTCAAAGTTCACTCTTATATTTTGTTTTATACTTCAGTGTAATTTCTGCATTTCAGTATGACAGACTTTCATAGATAAAATATAACTTTTTTTATAGATAAAATATAACTTAATTATCCCTGTGAGGTAGTATAATTAAGAATATAATTTATTTTGGTTTATATAAAAATTGGTCAAAAATTTGAAATGAAGCAATGAAAATTGTAATTTTAACAAGTTTTGATATTTTGTTTTATGGTAAATTATATTTTTATTGTTGTTATTCCAAATCAGAAGATAAACACATTTTGGAATTTTTCAGCTTCCTGTCCAATGGGCACTGAGCTTTGATGCACTCTATACACTTTATCCCTGCAATATCATCTCAGTTCTGTGGTAAAGGTCTTGCACTGTGCTCAATCTGACATTTTTGAAATGGTAGCAGCTTGTGTCCAAGAATAATGGGAAAATATAATACCTTGTATAGAAGAGGAATGTGACCTCTGTGTTTTAGTGCTGTGTTTGTACATTATGTAGAATTCCATTTTATCAGTATGCAGGTTCTGTCTCTTTGCTGTTAATGGACAGAAACATCTGATTTTCCATCATGCTAATATGCATTCAAAACTTTGGCTGTTTTTTCTTTTTTCAGAATTTGGGTTTTAATGTCAACCTAAGGGAAGGTTTCTGTAAAAATCTAGTATTTCCTTTCAGTCAGAGTCAATATTATAAAAAGATATGAAACATATGCTTATTTACAGAACTTTTTAAAAAACACTAGAGGGGAAGGTATTAGACTAGGATATTCTCAAAGAGCTCTTGGAGGATTTATTAAATGCATGAAAACAAGACTGATCTGAGGTTATGGTGTTTGCAGTCCTTAGAACCAACTGAATTAGGCTGAAGTTGCCTTATAACAATAAATCCAAGAAAAATTACGGTCACGTAACATTACATCAGTTTACTAAATAAGTGCATTGTCATTTTCTCTGTTTGATTCCATGGGTAAAATTGTGTCAATCTGTGAAATCTCTTAAGTCCTTTTGCATATTTTAGATTCTGAAATGCTCTTGGACCAAAATATGGCTTCTCTGAATGATGACAACTGTAAAATATGGAATTCTTCATCTTTACTGTGGCAGAAGACAAAAAATTAAAACTGGAGAGGAAATTTGCATAACCTGAAACTTTTCTACATAATATATGAATCAAAGGAATTGATGTGTGACTGTCCCCAGCAATATATGTGAAGATAATCCATGCCTTACTGCCTCTTGTCATTTAGCTCATTGATGTAAAACCAGGTTTTGTTGGAGTTTGTTATAGCTGATTATATTCCAGGAAAGGGGTTACTCAGACTAGGGGGTTTGGTCCATAATTGTATAGTGGGTCAAAGCACTACTGCGAAAAAAACTTGCATCACTGTAATTTAACTCATTAAACAAGAGCTAAAGCATCTTAATGTGAACTTTTATTTCTAAACTTACTGCAACATATTCGAGCTGGGATTTTAAGGCTTGTGTTACTTAGGACTAAAATGGAATAAGAAAATACATAAATATGACCAAATTATACTTTCTTCTGTAGTAAATGTGATTCTTCAGCTTGGTGCCAAGCATAGTTACACTTCATTTCGTCCTTATGTTCTCCGATTAGTTATGTCTTTGGCACAGAAGATATGTATGCTCCATGAATGTGCATCTTCAATGTTAGGGCTCCATTTACCAAACTTACAGCACAAATATTATGTAGAAACAGTAACTTTCTTTGCTAGTGCTTTGATATACCTTTAGTAATTACGAGTGCAGAGATATCCCATATTGATTAGAAGCCATTAGGTGCACTGAAACATTGATCCTTCTTTATGATATCCCAAACTTCTGGTTTTCTTGTTTTCAGGTACAGCAAGTGCAGACTGTGCAACAGGTACAGCATGTCTACCCAGCCCAAGTTCAGTATGTGGAGGGAAGTGACACAGTCTACACTAATGGAGCTATGTAAGTTGGCAAATGTTGAGAATTTGAATGTTTATTAAAATGTGAAGTTAAATACGTATTTCCAGTCAGATTCTATCAACTACTGTATACTGAGTTGGAAAGAAAAATTATTCAATCAAAGCTCTCCTAATGTCAGAGTAGTTTTTCGGATGAAAAACTGAATTCACACTGTTTTTATTAAGGCAGAAGGGTTGTATAAATAGAATTCTTGTGATTCTGTTAGTTGCGCTTATCTGAAATTACCTGTACAGCATAGTGTTGTTTGTGAAAGTGTCTAGTTCATGGGTAAGTTCTGTCCAAAAGATGTATTGTGTAACTTCTGTCCTCAGGACAGAAGGAAGGGCCTTGTGTCTTCCTGGCTGCAATCCTGGTGGCAAATGATATAAAGGTGCAATAGCAGTAGTTTTTATCTAAAAAAAGTAGTAATGTAATTTCATTCCTGTGTTTCATAAAATGAGTATTTTTTCCCAAAGGAATGAGCAGAAGCAGAGGAAGGTGCTTCTTCAACCTCTTTTCTGCACAGTTGTGCATTTCCTGCTGCCGTGAACATGCTTTTCTATCATCAAGATTCTTTAATACACAAACTTAGAAAGATAGAAAAAAATAACCTAGATTTGATGTGACCTCTGGATGTTACCTAGTCTAATCTCTGACTTAGAGCAGCACCAGTTTTCAAGTTGGCTCAAACTTCAAAGTAGGATCATGTTGCTTAGGAAGGAGCTTCTCTACCTCAATTTTCATTTTTCATGTTTACTGTGTAACTGGCTTTAAAAGAAGTACCATTTGGAAGGTTTTTGTAGTGTCTGAAGGTGTACTTATTTGTTGATGGTAATCCAAAAGTTATCTGAAAGAGCAGTATTATTTGGATCAGAGACTTATGATGTTAACACTGACAGCATTCTTTGGTCATTTCTGCTAACTCATTTCAGTGAATTAATTTTTCATGTATTGTTTCGTCCAGTTTCTTCTCACTTGTAAATTCTAAACAATGTATTTTAAATATGTATAAGATTTCCCTGTTGTACTGGTTTGGTCTGGGACAGATTAATTTTCTTCATAGTAGATAGTACAGGGCTGTGTTTTGGACTTGTGCTACAAACACCATTGATACTATCTACTATGAAGAAAGTATTGTTCCCCAGCCAAAACCAGCAGACCCATACAGCAGCACTCAGTGCCATCATAACTTCATTGCGACCATGACAGTCTGCTGTTAGCCTCCAAAAGAGGGCATTGTTGAATAACCTCTTTTTCAAGCTTCTCTTTTCATTTATTACTTTAAAATTCTTCTGTGGGCTATTGGCACTTTTGGCAGTTTATAGGAAGCGTACTACATTACTGATTACAGTCCTAGGGAAAAACGGAAGCAGATGTGACTAACTCCTTTTTATGAATCTTCAGGTTTCTATTATTTTATGGTGTTTCTAGGTCTGAATCCCTGCAAAATCAGTCAGTGGGATATAAGAGAAGAAAGCTCTCCTCAGCATGTGAGCCTAATCTAGATTGTCTTTACCTCCTATAGAAGATTTTACTCATGTTGTCGTGAGCAGCAACTGTGGACAGTCAATTTGTTGTCCAATACTTTTAGGAATATTCTAAAGATTGTATTTTTATTGGTGGAGAATATGTATCTATATTATATGTATTGCGAAGCACATTTCCCATATGCTTTTATACTCCAGATTTTGTGTTGTCTTCCTATGATTATATGTTTGATATATTTTATGACTGTCCTAAATCAAAATCTTAATTCTAACTCAAAATCAGATATAGGACACTTCCATAATCTATCAAGTAACAGTACTGCTTTAACAATGGAATAAGAAGTCTGCAACCCATAGTTAGGGTGAAGACATTAATTCAGTGTGCAGACATCTCTGGAATAAATGTTACAGCATGTCTGTGCTGCTCTGCCCACCTGGAGTGCTATGTCCAGTTCTGGAGTCCTTGGGATAAGAAAGACTTGGAGCTGTTACAGCAGGTTCAGGGGAGGCCACAAAGATGACCAGCAGGCTGGAGCACCTCTCCTATGAAGACAGGCTGAGAGACTTTATTGTGACCTTCCAATCCCTTTAAGGGAGCTTACAAGTAGGAGGGAGAGGGACTTCCTATGTGGACAGATAGTGATAGGACAAGGGGGAACAATTTTAAACTAAAAGAGGAGAGATCTAGATTAGATTAGATCAGGTATTAGGAAGAAAATCTTTGCTCAGTGGGTGGTGAGACACAGGAACAGGTTGTCCAGAGAAGCTGTGATACCCCATCCCCAGAAGTGTTCGAGACCGGGTTGGTTGGGGCTCTGAGCAACCTGGTCTAGTGGAAGGTGTCCCTGCCTGTGGCATGGGGGCTGGACTAGATGATCTTTAAGGTCCCTTCCAACCCAAACCATTCTATGATTTTATGAAAGAATTATCCTTCATTTTAAAAAAGTCACTTGCAAACCAGCATTGATTTAAATCCATATGCAATAGCAACAAAGAATACAGTTAGAATATCTATGAGGAGAAAGTTACCTGATTATTTTCATTATAGAAGTAAGAATTTTGTCAGGTTTCACGATCTTTGTCATGTGTAACTGTTGTATTCTTGTGACACAGTTCTTCCCACGCATTTTGTATCATGATTTGTCTATACTTAAAAGTTATTCGATTTTATTATAGTTGGAGGCAATATGATAATACAAGGGATGTAACCCCCAACTTGTCACATACATTGTATGATATGAGAATATTTGAACTGTATTATCGGCATTTGCCTCTAGTTAACAACAGTTTTGCTTGTCAAGCAGGTCACTCTATCCTGAAACAAAAATGCATTGTTGTTACAGTGACAGGTTCAGGCTTACCTGGCTGTTTAAAATATATTAAGACTATTATGGCTGCACCTATAGTAAGAAGCTACTTGGTTCCACATATCAGACATAAACTTTCTTCCTGCACAGATTGTGATGTATTAATCAACTATAGCCGTATAACTGCTAATTCGGATGTGACAAAGGGGGCTTTAATTGCTGGAATTGTCCAAGAATTGCAATTACATTGAAACCTCATTCTTTACAAATTTGTTGTACAACAATTTGTGTGGTTTATATTGGCCAGACACGCTGTGTACTCACACCCAAGAATTTATTATTACTTGTATTGGGTTTCTGTGGCTGGGTTTTAGTAGCGGGGGAGGCTACAGGGCTGGCTTCTGTTAGAAGCTGCTAGAAGCTTACCCTGTGTCTGGTGGAGCCAATGCCAGCCAGCTCCAGGATGGGCTTCCTGCTGCTGGCCAAGGCCAAGCCTGTCAGGAGTGATAGTAAGACCTCTGTGATAACATATTTAGGAATGGAAAGAAAGTTATTACACAGGTGAAAATTGCAGTGAGGGAAGAGCGGAGTGAGAACAATGCAGACACCAAGTGCAGAAGGAGGGGCAGGAGGTGCTCCAGGCATGGGAGCTGAGGCCCTGCAGCCCATGGTGCAGACCATAGTGGAGCAGCTGTGCCCCTGCAGCCCATAGGGGACCATCGTGGTGCAGAGACCCACCTGCAGCCCATGGAGGAGCCCACACCAAAGCAGATGGATGCTCGAAGGAGGCTGTGACCCTGTGGGAGGCCCATGATGGAACAGAGTCCTGGCAAGGACCTACCAGGAGAGCCCATAGAGAGATGAGTCCACGCTGACGTAGTTTTTTCCCTGGTAGGACTTCTGGCTGTGTGTGGGACCCATGCTGGAGCAGCTTATTCCGGAAGGGCTGCACCCCGTGGAAGAGTGACCTGTGTTGCAGCAGTTCTGTGAAGAACTGTTGCCCGTGGACCCCATGGGAACAGGGGAAGAACTCCTTGCTCTGAGCAGCGACAGAAACAACTGACCATAACCCCCATTCCCCATCCCCCTGCACCACTGGGGAGGAGGAGGTAGAACTTGGAAGGAACGAGGGATGGGGGAACGTGTTTTTAAGATTATTTTACTTCTCACTCTTTTGCTCTGACCCTGTTAGTAATAAATTCAATTAATATCCCCACTTTGAGTATGTTTTGCCCCTGATGGGGATCAGTAACTGACCTCTCCCAGCTCTTATCTCGACTCAGGAATCCTTAGTTGTTTTTTTTTTCCTCTCTCCTCTGTCCAGTTGTGGAGGGGAGTGAGAGAGAGGCTTCACTGGGTACCTAGCTTCCAGCCAGGGTCAACCGACCACAGTATTCTTAATTGAAATCTGAACTGTCAAAAAGATTATTATTACTAATATAGTTAAAGTTGTTATTTTCCTAGTACTTAACAGTATCTATCTGTTTTTCTCCAGCATTATCTGTACCCTTTTACTAGCCTTCTGCATACTAAAGGTGAATGGCTTCTGTCTGAGAACGAGTTACAGAGAGTTGCAGCAATTTAGCACTATCACAGGTGTTATGTCTGGACAAGTGTGATGGGTGGTGGGGATCTCTGTTCACTCTGTGTCCACTTGCAGCTATTTTTAATGTGTTCTAGCATAGTCTACACCTTATTGGTTCTTCACTGGTTTGCATGTTCAAATTACATCTGAATGTGCTTTATATGTTTTACATTTGCTGGATACTTCTTGAAGATTGTTATGCCACAATCCTCTTTGCTGCATTTTTAATCGGGGGTCATGGATTGTTTATTCTGTACAGAACAGCTCTTTGCTGTTATTGTCTGTTAGATAGAACAGTGCCTGAGCATTTTAATTATACGTTTTATACCACACAATCTTAGAAGGCTAAGCTAAATTGGAAACAGATTAAGTAACAGTTATTGATTGTTTGACAGTTACTGCTAGAACAAAGCTTTAGGGCTAGCACAGACAAGTCTAAACAAAGAAAGCCTGACAAACCCAACTCTTGAGGTCTTGCAAATTTAGTGCGAGCCCTGTGACATGTTCCTAACAATGCCATATTTCTTCAACTATAAGTCTGCAGTAATTAATGAGAATTTTTAGAAATCTGAAAATTAAGGTTTCTTTATCTGTCTAACTTACAGGTCCTGAGAAAATAATATA